AGACTGTGGATAAGTGAATCAGCGGATACTGATCCCCCAGATAATGAGGTCCTACTGTATGTGTTTGTTACAAAAAAACCACTATTCACTGGAACCTGTGTGACCTAGAACGTGTTATTTCTCCGTTGTGTGTCCTCCCCAGCCCAGGTCTACCAGAATGACACCATGTTGTGTGAAGTCAGGGCAGGGCTTGACTGGCCACTCACACGCTCCCCTTTTGCCCATCATCCCCATCGTGGCCCATCTCCTCCCTCTGGCTTGTCTCGCCCCAAAAGAGATTTACCTGACATTAATAGCAAGGTCAAAGGTCTGGTGGGCCTCGGGGCCTGTGCAGGTCTCTGGAACGGTGTGGACGTCCAGGGCAAAAGGCGCATCGTCCTGGTGTGGCTGCACGTTGTATCTCAAGATGGTCTGGAAAAGAAGCACTGCATCATCATCATCATCTTAGAACTGCAGAGCTAGAAGAGCCCCTTTGGATCAGGGAGTCCAGCCCCTGTCAAGGAGGCCCAGTGGGGAATCGAACTCCCAACCTCTGCAGCAAGAGGCCTAAATCTTACGTTGTTATGACTTTCTTTGTGGCAGGGTCTATACTTGGGCTGTGGAAAAATCCTGCCATTGGTGTGATTCTGGGTGGGACTGCCTGGTCTTAACAGGGTGAGGCAACAGTTTTTCTCCGGCTCCTTTGAGAGATTTCATTGCCAGCATGAGACCAATTGGGGCCTTTCCAGACTGGCCATTTGGGGAACAGGGCTGATCGGGATACAAAGAATTTGTTGAGGTTGGGGAGGTGAAGAGCGATGTGCTATTTGGCATGCTCCTCCCTCCCAAACAGCAAAGGGCCCCTTGGAACCCAATTAGCTGTCCATTAAGTGCTTCCCCTGATCGTCTGCAGAGGGTCAAGGGTAGTGAAATTATTTTTTCTTAACCTCACTCCTCTCTCCATCTGTTGATGCCATGCTATTTTCTCCCTTCCCCCCACTCTCCTTCCCTCATCCTCTCCCCATGACTTTGTCCCTCAAATCCTCCCCCTCCCAGAATCTGTAGCTGATAGAGACTGTCTCCCAGCTAAACAATCAGAATGCATGCCCTACTGCTCGGCCAGGAAGGTGTGCAACAGCTCTTAAAGGGGAGCGGTGGATCATTCTAAGTAGAAACAGTGGCAGACAAGGTCTCCCCCTCTCTGATCCAATCCATGCCCTCCACAATCCATAAGCCATATCTATATGACAGTATGGACAGGGCTGAAAACACCAAATGGGGTTTCTTTTCATCTTGGTTTCCATAATTTGCCCAAAGTGTAGTGGCTGAAATCCTGTTCTGTAAGCTATGCCATGTAAGGTTGATGATGTCATCAGCACACAGAACTGGTCCCTGAAATATAAACACAAGCTTTCTTTTGAGGCCTTATTACACATTCACACATTACAAAGAGGAAAGACTCTTTGCTGGAGTTAAAACACTTGTAAGATCAGGAAATAGGATTTTGTTTGAACATCTGTTTCCTGCCATCAAGCCACCCAGTGAGAAATCAATGTGGCTTGACTGCTGCAAAATTACAATAGGACTTCCTTATCAGCGGGATCAGTATCCACTGATTCATTTACCCAAAGTCTGAAACTATTAAAACTATTGAAAGAACAATCCTAGAAGTATATATTTCTATAGATGAAGTTACGAGAACGGACCACTAGAGAGAGAGAGAGAGACCCATATTATGCATAGTGTTGTTCACTATTAAAATAGTGTTTGCTGTAATCCACTTTTTAAAAGCATCTGTGAGGGGCTTGGATCCAATCCCCCATGAATAAGGGGGTCCTACTGTATATTCTCACTATCGAGTGAGCAAGGATCTTGGACAAAGGAACCAGGAGTGGGCTTCTGGGGTGACCAGTGCAAACCATTCACTCCAAAGTTTTAGAAAGAAGGACATCCTCTGCTCTGGTCACCATGTCCTCTCGACAGAAACACAGCAGAGGGCATCAGACGCCCATCCACCCCCTTCCTTTTTTTGTCTTCCCCACTGGGCAAGAGGCCTTAGGTTTCCCAGTGGGCTTCTGGGGTGACCAGTGCAAACCATTCACTCCAAAGTTTTAGAAAGAAGGACATCCTCTGCTCTGGTCACCATGTCCTCTCGACAGAAACACAGCATGCTACCTCAGAGGGCGTCGGACACCTGTCGGCCCCCTTCCTGTTTCCATCTTCCCCACTGGGCAAGAAGCCTTAGGTTTCCCACCCGTGCTTTTCGGTCGGTCACATGGCTTGATCCTGGAGCTGGCTCCCCCCCTCCCAACTTCTATCTGTTCTAGACAGTCTGGGAGAACTCACCTGGGAATAGGCGCAGCCGTCCCCGGTCACCTGGATGTCGTAGTCCCCGGGCACTTTGGGCAGCGCCTGGCACTGAAGGAGGAGGCGGTTGGTGCTGTCCACCTGGAATTGCTTCAAGACGTTCTCTCCAGAAGCGAGGGCTACTCCGGTGCCGGTGCTATCCTTGGAGAAGGTCAAGGCTCCGTACAGGGCGAGGGCCTGGAGGGCAACCACTGTATCCTGCAACCGAAAGCAAAGGGAGGGAGACTTTCCTAGAGATGTGGGGCTCACAGCCTAGATCCCAGTCACTGAAGAGGGAACATTAAGGCTCCTGAAATTGTAATTCATGAAAGCTTTCACGGCCAGGATCCGATGGTTGTTATAGGTTTTTCAGGCTGTTTGGCTATGTTTCTTGATCCGGAACACGGCCAAACAGCCTGAAAAACCTACAACAGCTCCTGTAATTCTTCACTCCAGAATCCCCCCAGTAGCTGGAATGCAGGAACTGAAACTGGAAAAAGTTACTACTTTGCTAAGCTCTGCCGTTCTACTGTTCGGCCACAGAAGGGTCTCAGCGAGGATCTGAAACACACATAATGAGAGAGAGCCAAGAGAACTGAACTTCAGCTGTGTTTCTATGAGGGCCTGACCTGAAAGTGGACATTATAAAGCCCAAGGAAGTTGATGAATGAAGACTGGCCAGCAACTTGTAGCTGAACATGCCCTAAAACAAGCTGGACATGAAATTCTATTTCAAATGCTGAAGTACTGCACAACACCAGCAATCATTATGTTAGACTGCACAGGGAAGCCATTGAAATCCACAAACACCAGCAGAGCTTCAACAAAAAAGGAAAGTCTAAAACGCAACAAAGCCTGGCTCCCAGCACTGAAAAATATAGCCTGCAAAAGGTCAAGAACTCTACCCAGCCACAAGGACCGGTGATCACTGCACACAAAAGACCAGCTAATGACACCCATCAATCACATGGACAGATCATCTCTCCCCTTATCACAACAAAATTCACAACAAAAAACACGTTGATCACCACAATCACCCAATCTCCTGAAAAGGACAAAAGCTGATCCCACAGCTATAAATACTCAACTATCCCACAAACTGCAACAGAGCACAGACAGAGTTCTGACTCCTGTCCTCTGAAGATGCTGGCCACAGAGTGGCGAAACGTTAGGAAAAGAAACCTTAAGAACACGACCAAACAGCCCGGAAAACCCACAACAACCATCAGATCCCAGCCGTGAAAGCCTTTGAGAATACATTGAAAATTGATTAGTTTGAAATGTGGGGCAGGAGGAGAGCTTAGCAGATACTCAGGGCTGCCAGAAACATCAACAAGTGGGTAGTAGACAAAATCCAGCCTGAACTATCTCTGGAGACGAAAGTATTGAGGCTGAGGCAGTCCTACTTTGAGCACCTCATGAGGATTCTTTGGAAAAGACAATAATTCAGGGAAAAGTGGAAGGCAGCAGGAAAAGAGAAGGACTGACTCCCTAAAAGAAGCCCCAGGCTTGCAGGGCAGTTGAGGACAGGAGCCCTTGGGGTCCTTTTAAGGAGAAAGATGTGGTAAAAATATTTTAAATAAATAAATATTTTTGGAGAGTAGGGTTGCCGTGACTCTGAGGCAGATGAGCAGCCCATAACAGCCACGCCGGAGTAGCTCTGTCAAGCTGAAGGCCACCATGGAGGGTCAACCATGGCCCAGGAAGGCCAGAAGCCTCTCAGCCGTAGGCCCTCCGAGCTGCCCAACTCCATCAGAGGCTGAGGGCAGCCACCCTGCGCCTGGCCTGACAGTGAGGTCAGGAGGCTTAGAGGGGCTTTGACAGGCAGCCTGTCTGGCAGAGCCCCTCCCGAAGGAAGGGACGGGGCAGCTTGGCTGCTCCCTCCGTCTCTCGGGGACATCCCCTGGTCCTTCGTGGATGGACGGACAGACAGACAGACGTTTACCTGCGTAGAAGAGAACCCGCCCGTGGGATTCTGTTGCTTGCTCAGCCACTGGACCGTGTGGGCGGCTTTCGTCAGATCCTCCTGGGCCGGGGCCGGCTGTTTGGTCAACCTCGCGAGAAGCACATAGGAGGTCATCTCCACCTCAGCCGAGGGAGCGCGGGGATGATAGAAGGCAAAGTCAGGCTGATTGTCTTCCTTCCCGGGCCTCTGCCAGTGAATGGAGCCATCATCTTCGGAGGCAGAAAAGAACCGTCAGTCTGTGGCTCAGCTCAAGCCCAGAGCGGGGCTGGCTCTCTCATGAGGCGCAGTGAGGCGGTGGCTTCAAGTGGCAGAGCACCAGGGGCAGAAACCACCACCCCCTCGGGAAGGCCTCTACCGCTTTGGACAAGCCCTGCTGCAGCAGGCAGAGCTTTCCAGAACCCAAACTGAGAAAAAGTGACTTATCAGCAACAGGGGGAGCTGGCTGTAACTCGTTATTTTTGGGGAATAATGAAGTTATGCTCCAGGAGGAATGTTAAGGAGCAGCAACGGTTATTTGATGGATGTCACAAATAGTCCTCCTAGACTTTCAGAAGTAACTTTTAAAGGCATGTGAGGGAACTTTTTTAAAGGCTTTGGACAAGGATTTTTGAAGCTCTGTGTCCTTCTGTTATCAATCCTGGCTTCCCTTCCCCAAGAAACAGAACGTTAATAGAAAAGGTACGAGCAGCACAACAAGAAATGGGCTCTGTCGCTTTTTCAGCTCAGTGGTGGGTAAGGAGACAGAGGAGTTATTTCTCCAATCATTGTAATGAACAAATGAACTGGAATAATAAGCGGATGGGAATAAGGCTGCCCCCTCCAGAGGCGTCTCGTTCCCAGAGGAGTGGGCGGCTGCCCTGGGTGACGGCCTGCTCTGCACGGCTGGGTTGGCGCTGTCCCAACACCGCATGCTGCCTCCGGGAGGCGGGCCTTCCCTTCCCTTCCAAAGGGCCACCGAGCTCAGCGTGGGCCCCCTTTTCCTTGTCCTTGTCCGCTTTGCGTGGAGCCCAAACGTGCCCACCTCCAAAGCCAAAGGGTGGCAAGAAGGCAGCCTTCCCTCCAGTCTGCTAAGTCTTTTTAAAAGGGTGGCGGCAGCCTTCCCTCCAGTCTGCTAAGTCTTTTTATTTCTTCTTTCCTTATCCTACCCCATCTTGGTAATCCTTTCTTAAATTAATTGTCTTAATTAATATAGCAATTGTATTGTATTGATTTATTTTATGTTGTAAGCCGCCCCGAGTAGACATGGTCTAGAGGGGCGGGGTATAAATTTAATAAATAAATTAATTAGAGGAAGGAATATGCAAGCCCAAGACTTATCACATGTTCTTACAGCACCAAACTTCCATGTCCCTTCTTGGTGCCATTCACATATTAGGCTGCAACTTCTACCATAAGCAATCAGGAGGAAAGTTTGTCTGTCGCATAAAGAGAGCACCAGATTGGGAGTCTGTACTGAACCGTAGCAGTTCTATTGGAGTGAATTTGTTGTCTTCTCTTGAGATGAT